AAATACCTTCTGTCACCCAAACCCCTCCACCCAAAAAATTGTTTTTCTTTATTTTTTTCGTTTGAGGGGGTGGGGTTGGGGTTGCGCCGCCCCATGGCGCTTCTTGAATCCCCAACCCCTCTCCCCACTGGCCGCTATGCGGCTGCAAAGCCGCGCGGCCGCACGGACACGTTTGCGGGATCGCGGACCTGGCCGCGGCCGTGGACTTCGCCGCGCTTGGATGATCCGGACGTCGTGGCAGCTCCCCGGATATCCCACGAACACGTCCTGGATGCGCAAGTCCAAGTGGACCACCACTTGAGCAACGACAGAGAAGCGTCTCTTGCGGTCGTAGTAGTCTTTCGGAGGTGCATTCGCCGGCTTGTCCACGTAGATTTGGGTGCAGTCGATGCACCCATGGCAGTTCGGGAAACCCTTGTCTACAAAAGCACGCAGAACGATCGCCTTCCACACCCCAGTCGGCCACGCCACCTTGTCCCTATACACCGAAAGCAGCGCAGCAGTAACGTCCCGGACGGCCACCAAACCTGAAGCATCGCCAATCCATAAGCTGAAGCTGTTACTCTCGTATGTCTTGCCCGACGCCCACCTGTACAGCGCGTAGGCGACGATCTGGTCTGGTTGCAACAGCTCCCTATAGAACGTCACACGTCGCTGGAGAATCGGCGACAAGTTCTCAACGATCTCGCGGAAGACACGTGGAGACATCCGTAACTTGTCGCGGAAGTAATCGYCAGTGGCGTCGTCMGCAGGCYGAAKATCCTCCCAAGTCCCCCCCRTCCTCCTTTTTACCCACCACCTCGGCGTCGCCCTCGGTAGTCCCCCACACCCCAGTGCACAGCACACCTCCAACACGGCATCACAGATGGCAGCGCTATCCAACGCTTCAGTCGTCGCCGCCGGCATCAACTTCCTTCTCCGAGCACGTAGTCGTGCCCACCGCCGTTGACCTTCGACCTCCATATCGCAATGCATGATGACGGCGGCTACGGCTGACGTCACGGCAGCCCTCTCCAGCGCGGACAACCGGGCCCCGACGTCATCCCCATCACCCACTCCACGCACATGGGCTACCTTAGACATCGCAGTCATCCTCACGGAGTGAACTCGCCCAACACTCAACTGGACGCCCCCAGCAATGGACACTGCCCACGAGCAAGTTGGCGGAGATGGCAGTCGTGCCGCGGTGCGTGAGGACGAACGAGCAAGGCGAAACACGACACTCACAACAGTCGACAGAGGGCCACGGAGAGCCATCTCTTCAAATACGTGTGGAACATTGTGCTGACGCCACAACGGCTAGCGGCTCACCTGCGTGACGCCCACTACAAAACCCGTCAAAGTCCCAGATGGGGTCACCCCAAGGTACCCGCATGTCCCCGCGGAACCACACCGCACGGCATGGTCGACCGATTCGAAATTTGAATTTTGAAAGTACACGCGCGCGCTCGGAATTTTTTCCTCATTGCGGCTGCGGCACTCCCTTTTCGAATTCGAAGGCCAAACGTGGTGGACCACGGCTGCTTGCACGGACACCGGACGATGGACCACCACCCAAACTTTCGTCCCGCGGCCGCGTATAAAATTATACGTCTCCCCGCGGCCAGTCCTCCGAGCATTCTCGGGCGTCGTCCCGAGGGAGCAGTGGAACAAAAGCGGAAATTCCTCGGGCTGCCCCGAGGATTTTCCCTCGGAGCCCGCGGACGCGCCGAGGAGTGTCTAACGAGCCCCTTAGCTTTCCAAGCAGCAAGCTGATGCCTTACCCATATGCAAACTCCTGGATCTCTTATTGTTTCTACATTCAGCCTAAAGATGCCTTTTCCATGTGTTGGGCTTTCGCCCCACAGGAAGAGCATCACAACCGAGTTGTGGTCAGAGGTAGGGTAAGGTTGGGTAGAGACGTCAACCGTGGTGTTCCAAATAGATTGGCTCGTCAAAAAAAAAATTATTCTACGTGGGGTTACCCTTCTTCCCGCCAGTAGCTGTGAGGAGTACCATGTGAAACCCGGATCAGTTGGGTTGGTCACGCTATAAGGGTCGGACAAATCCAGTTGTATCACTAGGTCCAACAGGGCGGCCAAGTCTTTCGCAGCTCTACCTGTGTGGACCAGTGGTTTGCGTCGTCTAACGCCGCATTCCAATCTCTGGAAATGACGATGTTATCAACATCTGGGAGGACATCCATAAAAACATATTCCTCTCTATGCGCTCAGTCAGTGCATAAACAGAAACTATCGCTCAATCCTTTCCTGTCGATCGCAGCTTGATCCAAGCCCACCGCCCCTGATGATCCAAGTCGTGGTCTATGATCTCGGTGTCTAAATTCCGGTGAAGTAGTATAGCGACTCCACCCCGAGAGTCTACCACCGGAGCTCACACCTGCGGCCCTGCGGGCCATCCCACCAGGCCCCAAGCGATATAATCTTATCGTGGCTCAATTTCGTTTCTTGCGTACAGATCGCCGAAATTTGGTTCGAGTGCAGTCATGACTTAATCCTAAATCTCTTGCTTCTACCCCCTGTGTCGCCTAACCCCCGGACGTTCCATGTTGCCAATTTAAACTGCAGCATGGGATTCCGAGACCTCCCTGGATTAGATGCGGGGCGAAGGGATATTGGATCCCGCGGGGATGCCTGTGTGGGCGCCCGTGTCCCATTTCTGCGTAAGATAATTGTGGCACGACTCAGTGTTCAAGGACCTTGCTTTCGGGATCTTCAGGAACAATGTTCCCAGGCATGAGGCATCGTATTCCCCTAACAGGGTGATCTTCTCCAGTTGGGGGTGGTTCAAATGGATGAACCATTCCTTGGGGATCAAGCATAAACCATGGCTTACTAAGCGAAGTAGAGCTTCTTGTGAGATTCTAGCATCAAGAAGAGGGGTGAACAATTTGGCCCTGATTCCAGGGCGCTCCACAAAGAAGGGGGGGGTGGGGATGTCAGGAATGTTCCTGACTGCAATATCACTCTCGTACAACCTACGAGCAACATCAAGAATATCTAGCGGCATTGGAGGAGAAGAAATCAGTTGGGATGGGAAAACCGTCACTCCTTGCTGAGTCACCCATGCTAGAACAAACTTACCCTCGGTCGTGGCTACGAATAGCAATGGAAGAAGGTGTTTACGAGGTCTTTTAGAGGGCACCAGTACCCCGGAGGCAGCCTTCCCAAACCTTTTTCTTTTCAAGCCACCGAACCTCTTTCATTTTCGCGAATGGGGCTGCTACACCATGGAGATATAGCAGCAGACCGGTCCTTCAATGCAGGCAACCGGTCGCTGTGTTCTCACTGTTTATTTTTTTTTCCACCTGAGTACTTTTTTTTTTTTTTTTTTTCCCTTTAAAGTTTTTCTTTTCTGCCATTTGTGTGCAATTCGCCCCTCCTCACAGTAATGCAACGGTTCTCTAGCTACAACTTGAGGGCCCCCCCCTCCACTACTCCACATGCAAAGGACAAAAAAAATTGGCAATGTATCTTGCCATGTTCTAGTGTAGGCTTCATTCTCATTTCGCACATTTGGAGAGTACTAGATGGAGGCCCTAATGCACAAACAACAAAACTTAGGCCGTTGTAGTTGTTTCCCCCCCCCGTTTTTTCGGAGTGTTTCTCAATTTATGAATGTTACCTTCACAGAGGGCTATGCTAATCTTTGTCGTATCTACCAGCGTTCCGGCTGAAGATTCATCAACATTTTGCACATTCCAAGGCTGTGCAGCGCCAATGTCACTCCGCAAATCTCTACTGAGGTGCGTGCAACGCGCCTGTCAAAGTTGTGGCACTACTCAAATCTCTGCTGAGGTGCGTGTAGCGTGCCTGTCAGAGTGATGCCTCGAGGGTCGTAACTTTTTTTTTTTTTTTTTTCTGGTTTATTTCTCAATTGATGCCGCTTATGCGTTTCATGTTTGTCCAGGGCCACATATTAATCTTCCCTGTATCAACCAGCTTTCAGAGGGAAGATTCTTTCTCATATTTGCAAGCCGGATAGTCCTTCATGAGACACACTGCTCCCACCTGCCGTGCGCCTGTGTAACACTCCGTACGACGTACGGGGGGTTTATCGTACAGTCATACGTACGGCCATATGAACGGACGTCTGAACGGTCGTACGACCGTATGTACAGCCCCGTGCGAGGGAAAAAARAAAAAAAAAAAAAAAAACAATGTTTTTTTTTAATCTCAAATTTGGTAACGAATTTCAATATGACCCTGAGGCAAAAGTGTTTCAGTTTCTTTTTCTGCATAACATAACGTACGTACGGCGCGTATTCGTACGGGGGTTTACGTAGTCGTGCGCCGTTCCTAGTAAGTTTTTCCCTTTCCTGATTTTTTATTTTCCACTTTTTTTTTCTTCTTTTTTTTCTTTTTTCCTACTCTAGTTGTTCCTTCTCGTTTTCAAAACGAGGGACCCGTGAACCTATATCGAGGCTCTACCCGACCTCTACCGAACCTGTCAAGGACCTCCATGAATTCCGGAGGTCGGATTTTTTTGGTTGGGCGGGGTACTGGTGGTCAATCTTTATGTTCGATGGGCCAGTCGCTTTGCCTTCCCTCAGGTCCAATCCACTCCGGTCCCCTCTCCTACGAACATAAGCAGTCACGGGCCAATGCCGCTCGGGGGACGAGCGACTATCACCAGGTGGCGGGCGCCAAGCTTGCCCGGGGGCTAGGTCCCATTCACACGAATTAGGCGATACTGACCGTAGAGAGCAAAGATCAACGGCCGGACTCTATTAATCCGTACAAGTGGGACCGTGGTCCGGGAAGGTACATCGGGCCAATCAGGATTGGATGCAGGAGCTCCTGAATGCCACTTCCATGTCAAGCTTTGTAACAACGTAGTGGAAAAGTGTGCAAGAGTGTGTGTCAAGCTGCGCAACAACGTAGTGGAAAAGTGTGCGAGAGTGTGTCAACGCATTGCCAACAGAAATGGCGCACGTGCATGTCAAGCTTTGTAACAACGTAGTGGAAAACTGTGCGAGAGTGTGTGTGTGTGTGTGTGTGTGTGTGTGTGTGTGTGTGTG